TTATATTGCAGCCATTTGCTAAAATCATTTAAGTTATTTTTTTTTCCTCATTAATGTACACACAGCACCCCATATTGACAGAAAAACACAGAATTGTTGCCATTTTTGCAGATTTATTAAAAAAGAAAAACTGAAATATCGTGGTCCTAAGTATTCAGACCCTTTGCTGTGACGCTCATATATTTAACTCAGGTGCTGTTCATTTCTTCTGATCATCCTTGAGATGGTTCTACACCTTTATTTGAGTCCAGCTGTGTTTGATTATGCTGATTGGACTTGATTAGGAAAGCCACACACCTGTCTATATAAGACCTTACTGCTCACAGTGCATGTCAGAGCAAATGAGAATTATGAGGTCAAAGGAACTGCCTGAAGAGCTCAGAGACAGAATTGTGGCAAGGCACAGATCTGGCCATGGTTACAAAAAAATTTCTGCTGCACTTAAGGTTCCTAAGAGCACAGTGGCCTCCATTCCTTAAATGGAAGACGTTTGGGATGACCAGAACCCTTCCTAGAGCTGGCCGTCCGGCCAAACTGAGCTATCGGGGGAGAAGAGCCTTGGTGAGAGATGTAAAGAAGAACCCAAAGATCACTGTGGCTGAGCTCCAGAGATGCAGTTGGGAGATGGGAGAAAGTTGTAGAAAGTCAACCATCACTGCAGCCCTCCACCAGTCGGGGCTTTATGGCAGAGTGGCCCGGCGGAAGTCTCTCCTCAGTGCAAGACACATGAAAGCCCGCCTGGAGTTGTGAGATGGTGAGAAATAAGATTCTCTGGTCGGATGAGGCCAAGATAGAACTTTTTGGCCTTAATTCTAAGCGGTATGTGTGGGGAAAACCAGGCACTGCTCATCACCTGTCCAATACAGTCTCAACAGTGAAGCATGGTGGTGGCAGCATCATGCTGTGGGGGTGTTTTTCAGCTGCAGGGACAGGACGACTGGTTGCAATTGAGGGAAAGATGAATGCGGCCAAGTACAGGGATATCCTGGACGAAAACTTTCTCCAGAGTGCTCAGGACCTCAGACTGGGCTGAAGGTTTACCTTCCAACAAGACAATGACCTTAAGCACACAGCTAAAATAATGAAGGAGTGGCTTCACAACAACTCTGTGACTGTTCTTGAATGGCCCAGCCAGAGCCCTGACTTAAACCCATTTGAGCATCTCTGGAGAGTCCTAAAAATGGCTGTCCACCAACGTTTACCATCCAACCTGACAGAACTGGAGAGGATCTGCAAGGAGGAATGGCAGAGGATCCCCAAATCCAGGTGTGAAAAACTTGTTGCATCTTTCCCAAAAAGACTCATGGCTGTATTAGATCAAAAGGGTGCTTCTACTAAATACTGAGCAAAGGGTCTGAATACTTAGGACCATGTGATATTTCAGTTTTTCTTTTTTAATAAATCTGCAAAAATGTCAACAATTCTGTGTTTTTCTGTCAATATGGGGTGCTGTGTGTACATTAATGAGGAAAAAAAATGAACTTAAATGATTTTAGCAAATGGCTGCAATATAACAAAGAGTGAAAAATTTAAGGGGGTCTGAATACTTTCCGTACCCACTGTATATAACGTCATTTATCATCATACGGGAACATGTGACGACTTCAGACGGAGGAAATCTCCTCCGGTCTGTTTATCCAGAGTGACTTAGAAATACACCATTATGCATAAGATGCTGGAAAAACCGCGAGATTTGACACGCGATGCACAAAAACAGCATGTGCTGTGTGAATGCAATCTCATAAATCTGCTCTCTCCTGAAACCGAAAACTCACTCTATTTATTTTCTCAATGTATGTTATAGAGCCAGTGTTGTTTTAGTATCACTGATATACCATTATGGTTTTTATTAATATTTTGAAATGACGAATCGATATACATTTTATTTTATATTTTCTGTTTTCACTTTTAATTTTAGTTAGTTTCAGTAATTGTTTTCGTAATTTTTATTAGTTTTATTATTTCTATATGTCTTTATAAAATTGTATTCATTACTACATTGCATATTGTAAACATTTGATTAATTAACATTTAATTTTTATATTGTCTAAAGTTATTAAATTATATTAGTTTTATTAGTTTAGTGCACAGTGTGTTCTTGCATATGTAATGGGCAGTGTTAATAATAATAATAATAAATATTTTAGTTTGTTTGTTACTTTTACTGTATTCAAAATAATAAAAATTCTTTATATATATATATATATATATATATATATATATATATATAACTCATATTAATAGTTATTTAACTATAATGTAAACAATTAATTCATGCATGTTTCTTTTTTTAATGTTCTGACTTAAAACTCATAAAAAAAGATAAACAGAAATGTTATGAAAAAACTAATAGAAAAGACAGCAGCAGATAAAATCACTTCAAATAAATGTAAAATAAAAAACTAAAAACCTAAATTTGAAGTATTAATACTTTAAATGGGCTCTTAATAGTACACATAGCTAATACAACTAAAACTATAATAGTATCGCAATGGCACTAAAATCAAACTACGTGAATCTGGTCGTGAAGTTTTCCTCCGTTTAAGAGAGCTGTATAAAAATAAAAGATGAATATTAGATGAGAAATTTAAAACTTAAAATGACTCAAACCAAAATAAAATAAATGTAAACTAAATAGAAATATAAAAAAAAAATGAATCAATTAAAGGGACAGTTCACCCAAAAATGAAAGTTCTGTCATTTAATTACTCACCCTCGTGTCGCTCCAAACCCGTAAGACCTTCGTTCGTCTTCAGAACACAAATTAAGATATATTTTTGTCTATGCAGGGTCAGAGAGCTCTCGGATTTCATCAGAAATACCTTAATCTGTCTTGTGAAGATGAACGAAGGTCTCACGGGTTTGGAACGACATGAGGGCGAGTAATTAAAGACAGAATTTAAATTTTTGGGTGAACTGTCCCTTTAAAAAAAAATTATAAAATTTAAAATGAAAACTATTAATAAAGACTATAATAGTGTCTCAATGATACTAAAATAACTCATGATGGGTGGAGAAGCAGCAGGAGGACGTTAAACTGTTTCAAAACACTCGATCACATAAAGCCATCAGCGTTATAAGGTGAAACTAAAGCAATCAGGTCACGAAGTTTCTTCAGTTTGAGAGAGTCGTCGTCTCACATTCTGCACGCTTCGCTCTCCTCCTCTGAGCTCAGATTGATTTACTTCATGAGGGCTTTATAAATATAATCCACACCTGAGAACGGCCCAAGGCTTTGATGATCTTCTCTGGTGGAGAAGCCGCTAATTTCACATTCGCAGCTCTGAATTGGAGTGAAATGGAAATGTGTGTCCAAGGAGAGACGGAGCTGGGACTTCATTTAAATAACTATTGCCTCCAGCTGAATTGTCTAATGTAATGACATCTTTACCAACTCCCGCTGCTGCAGAACCAGAGTCAGGTGTCACAGAGATTCGCTTCAGGAACCAGCGGCTCAACCGCTCCACATGCATGACTGCTGGACGACAACTGAACCAGCTACAGAACACTGACAAATGATTCCTATGAACTGAATCTTTCAAATGATTCGTGCATACATGACTCGTGCCGTCTGTAGCACACAAACTTGTGTAGTTTGCACTACTTTTTTATGCATGGAATACTTGGATGACCTTTATTGTTAACTAAAATAATAAAAAATCATCTTGACCGATTGAAATAAGGAGAAATAAAATATAAATATTAGATGAAAAACAAAAAAAAATTGAAAGTTAACTAAACTTCAAATGAAAACAGAAAATATAAAAATTAAAAATATTAATAAAAATATTCTATATTACATAAAAATATATTTTTTTAATATTAATAACTATAGAAGTAAACATTAAAAACCTTAAAGCTAAAGCTAAAATTAAAACCAAAACTGAAAAAAATACAGCTAAATATAAATCACAAAAAAAACTATACAAAAGAGAAAAGCACAAAATAAAATTACTTAAACCTTAATTAAAAGCACTAAAATTACTCAAAGTAAAATTTTAATAAATTAGAATGTTTAAATAGAAATTTTACAATAACAAACTAAAATAATTAAAAATATATAAAAAGAAAAAAGCACAAAATTAATTGTGCTTTTCAGCAGATTTCAAAAGATATAACTATTATATTTATTATAACATTTAAAATACTGCACGAAATAATTAAACCAACATAACAACATTTGGACTTTGAGTTATAATGTTTAATATTCAATATTGTATGCTGTATATATATTGATTTTATCATTATATATGACAGAAGCATGTTGGATATAATTTGACTGAATTTTAGGTTCCTGATGGCCTAGTTTGTGTCTCCAGAAGAAGCCGGTGAGGAAAAATTGGGCCAAAAAACAAAGCAGAAAAATCAAGAATATCATTACCTAATAATTTCCATGCAGGCAATTACAGCCGCTCTTCTGCTGCGCCGGTGAGCTGAAGATAACTTTCTCTCATTAGCATGCTAATGTGCAAACAGCAGGGTGTGCTGGATCTTCAACATTTTACGATTCACCTCATTACACATTAATGAGATTTAAAAGTGAAGGCAAAATAAAAAATAACTTGTCTTTGTGAAGTTGGAGGGACGCGTTTGAATCGTTAGCAGGTGAGTCGCTTCAAACGTAACGATTGGCTCTTACCCGGGTGAGGTGCATGACGCCCTGAGACGTCACTGAGCAGCCCATGAAGCCCACGAACTGCAGATCCGGACAGTTCTGCGCAAACGCCTGCACCGACTTATCCGTCACCTGACAAACACAGAGGAATAAACACCTCAAAACAACGAGACACAATCTCCTAAACATTGCATGCATTGTTTTCCCTGTAACTTGCACTTGAACCAGTTCTGGTGAAAAAAAGCCCTAATTTCAAACAAGCAATACAGGAGATGTCAAATGAATGAATTAATAAAATGTTATATATTATATATGTATAAAGAAACAATTAGGAAATTATATATAAAACAAATTAAATCAAATAATACACACACACACACACTATATATATATATATATAAACAGCTCAGAAGTTTATCAAAAAATAAATATTAATATCAAATATCAAATGATACACACACAGCTCAGAAGATTAAAAACTTAAACAGAAATGAAAAACTGTTGAAATAATATTACTAAAAATAAAGCAGAATTTAAAATGAAAGCACAAAAATATTAAAAACTAAAAGAAATGAAAACAAACTTTAAAGATACAACAATTACAAAATATGAATAAAAACTTCATATTTTTTATTTTGGTGAGTGTGTAGAGCAAATTTACTTTGATCATTTGTATTGATCTTTAGCTCTAATATTTCTGAAATTAATAAAGATTGTGTTGAAAATGAAGCACAGAATGTACTGATGAATAAAAAACAAGATACACAAATAACTTGACAAATGTGACAAAGATGTTCAAATTTAGAAACCTGTTCACACAGAGACAGACTCACACAGTGACGCACACACACACACATAGAGAGAGAGACACACTCACACACACACACACACACACACACAAAGACAGACAGACACACACACACACACACACAGAGACAAGCACACTCACACACAGTGACAGACACACACACACTCACACACACAAAGACACACACTCACACACAGTGACAGATACACACACACACACTCACTCACACAAAAACAGACACACACACACAGTGACACAGAGACAGACACACACACACACACACACAGACACTCACACAAAGACAGACAGACACACACACACACACACTCACTCACACAAAGACACACACACACACAGTGACACACAGAGACACACACACTCACACAAAGACAGACACACACACACACACACAGAGACACTCACACAAAGACAGACAGACACACACACAGAGACAGACACACACACACACACACACAGAGACACACACACACACAGAGACAGACAGACACGCACACACACTCACTCACACAAAGACAGACAGACACACACACACACTCACTCACACAAAGACACACACACACACACAGAGACACACACTCACACAGAGACACTCACACAAACACAGACAGACACACACACACACACAGAGACAAGCACACTCACACACAGTGACACACACACACACAGAGACAGACAGACACGCACACACACTCACTCACACAAAGACAGACACACACATACACACACACAGACACACACACAAAGACAGACAGACACACACACACACTCACTCACACAAAGACA